CCATCCATGAAGGAGAAGATCTGACAATGAGTCGTGGAATCGACAAGCATCTTAGTGAATGGCAAGGGGAACTCATCCTTTGGGCAGACGACGCCATGACCTCGGAGTTAAGGGGAGGAGTTTGCCTAGTCTTTCTTCCTCTTTGAACATGTCTGTAATCATTCGCCCAATGACTTCAACATCCTCATGAGATGAGGGTCCTGTCTCTCTCATAGGTTTCCAATCATCATCCTTTGACCTTTCTGGTGGTGGAAGGTCTGTGAAATAGTACTTAGCGTCAACATAGTGAGTCTCGACAATAGGGAATGGTCTCTTATCAGCATAGACCGTGTGTTATCTCCCATCTCAACTATACTTGATGCATTGGTGGAGCTTGGAAGTGACCACCCCCTGATCATGAAGGCAAGGGCGGCCGAGCAAAACATTGTAAGATGTATCTGTGTCAATTACATAAAATTGAGCGTAATCATTCAAGCCACCAATCTTGAGGTGAAGATGAACTGTCCCAGTCAGCTTTTCACCTGATTGGTTGAACCCTTCCACGGTGATGTGGGTAGGAGTGAGGTCACCAAATCCTAATCCCAGTCGGGAGAGGATCCTTCTTGGGATCAGGTTGACTGGTGACCCTCCATTCAGCATAATCTGGTTGATACGGCTGGCGTGTAATTCACCATTCCCAAAGAGAGGGCGATTGTGAAATTTTCCTTGCAACTGCAGGTCATCTTCGGAAAAGGTGATTTCCAAGCACCCACCCAGTATGGTTGGGTCCACCTCAATAGGCTCCACTTCAGTCTCGTACAGTTCTAGGTTAGAAAGGGCTTAAACCAGGCCCATACGGTAGTCTTTGAATAGTATAAGGGCGTCATAGATACTTAGAAGGGCTGGAAGATTTTTCAAATGCCCAATTATGTCATATTTCACCTCTTCCTCAATAGCCTACTGTATTCCTGATCCAGTCATTGGTTTGGGTGGCAGGGTAGGTTTAAGAGTAGGTTTTGGATGAGTTTCGGTTTGTGACACTGACTGACTTTGTTGTTCGGCTAGTGCGGTCTAGGCTAATGGGGAAGTAATTAGGATTAGGATTAGGGATGTAGAAGTTTGAGCTTGAGGCTTAGGGAAAAGTGAAGGATCAGAAAACTTGAGGACTATGAGCTTCTGAAGTGTGGGTTGTAGCATCTTCCCTGATCATAGGTTCATTTGCCCCGTGCTGGATAGTACTTTCAAGATCTAAACCATATGGGAGGCCTCCTTGGAACAAGAACTTGAAGATGCCTCGGACTTGGCTTGGGCTGCTAGGTGTTTAGGATGAAAATCAGACAGATCTTCCGATGGAGGTCTCTCAATTTTAACACCTTAAACTAAATGAAAACGCAAGAAATAAGATGGTAAAGAAAGTGAGACAAATTGAATTCAGATCTGAGGCCAGATTTGCCCGAAAACGAGCAGATCTGTTCTTAGATCTGTGGCAGGGCCAGCATGATCCAGAGTGTCCAAAATGAGATTTTAAATAAAATTAACAAAACAGATCAAAATAAAATTAAAATAATAAAATAAGAAGAAAAAGAAAGAAATGATACCGAACCCAGTCGGATGGCTCGGGACTCTCAAGCATTTTGAGGCTCGCCCATATCAGAACCTGTCCTCTTTTGTCTCTCTGATTTGGATGTTTATCAGTAAATCTCTTCGGTGTGAAGGCTTTGATTTAGGGTTCTATTCTAAGGGTAGATCTGGTGTTTCTCTCAGGAGGCTAAGGCTTCCTGACGCAATTTCCAAGGTTTTCTCTGACTTTTCATCTCTATCTCCTCTGTTTCTTTTTCTCTGCTAAAGTTTCTATCTCTAAAATCTCTCTTCTTTGAAGTTCTCCTAAGGTCTTTCTCTGAAAAATCCCCTTTTCTCTCTCTTTTCGTCCCCTCTAAATGGTCCCGAAAAGATGCTAAAAAGGGGCAAATTTTGTTGGGGTGAATATCTTCCCGTAACCAACAAGTTTACTCAGTCAAAACGCCTTTTTTGAGGCCTCGGTTCTGGGTGACACGGCTAGTGTCACTCCAAAAGTAGGTTAAAAGGCGAAAAAAGATGAAAAAAATCATTTCGGGGAAAATTGGTCTGGGCGACAAGGGCCGTGTCGCCCGGGTGACACTAGTAGTCTTGTGACATGGGTTGTGTTGCTTAACACAAAAATGTTCCAAATTGACATTTTTCTTTTTAGGTGCATTCCTCAGCCTCTTGTGAAGGTACCAGGAAAATTTAGGTTAAAATGGCTTTTTTTACTATTTTTAATGATTTTCTTGGTAAAAAAAAATATTTATTGGAATGACTTGGGAGACACTGGCAGTGTCGCCTAGTCCAGGCTGGGCGACACGGCTATTGTCTCGCAAATCAAAACTTGTCCAAATTTCCTTTTTTCACTTTGAGTCTCTTCCTTAGCCTCTTATGAAGCTCTCTCAGAGAAAATTTGGATCAAAACGGATTTATTTACTATTTTCATGTTTTTATTGGTAAAATAGGGCGTTTACAAAAATTTAGGTCAAAACAAGGTTTTTGCAAGGTTCCGGGCAGGCAAACTAGTTCCGAGTCACAAGATAGGTTGTGCGAACTATGGATTTGGGTTTACTAGGTTAAGTGTGATCCTGAGTCTAGAAACCGTAGAATTTTCCAGTTTTCAAATGGGGTATCTACAGTTGCCCCTCCTTGGCACTCTCTGTCCTTCGAGGGACAGGCGAGTGGCAAAGAAGTAGACACTCTGACGATCCCTGTTCTTCGATGGGCAAGTGAGCATCAAAGATGAAGCAGACATTTAAATTTCATCCTATCGTCACGTGGTCAGAGGGCACACCAATTATCCCTCCAAGTCATTGTGCTCACCAAACTCACCTACCTAGGGCATTTTTCCTCCTAGGGTTTTCGACGTTGTCGGTAGGTTACACAAGCTTGAAACTCGAGTTGGATTTTTTGGCCATGCCACTTAACTTCATGGGTTTTGCAGTTTGAAATTTTTATCCCTGGCTTTTTCTTTTCCTTAACGTTTCCTAAGGTTATTTTTAAGAAAAGGCTTTCTATAAGAAGAGACTTGTCTGGCTGAATCCAAAGAGAAAGACGAGGCAGCAACGTCGTAGACGTGGCAACACGATATTCATCATATACGGGTATCCAAGCTCTTTCGTTTTAGAAAATGTTTTAGAAATTTTTAAAGTAGGGGGAGATTTGAAATAGAACCCGGAGAAAGGACATGTTACGATTTTAACAAAGAAATTAAAGTTTTTGAAATCACAGACATATAGTGACAATTTTGAAAAGAGAAAGATATTTGATAAACAAAGTTGGTTAGTAGTTTTAACTCCTGCAACCATAGAGCCTTCTAAGAAGTTTAGCGTCATGCAGCGATGGACCATACACCCGACCCTTTTACGTCATACGGGGATAGACCTTTCAACAAGGTGGTTGTGCCTTGAACACATTGAACATGGTTGTTTTTCCCTAAACAACATTGAACATGGTGGTTTTTCCCTGAACACATCTGACATTTTACGTCATACAGGGCTAGATGTTACCTGTCTCAGCTCTTTTATGTCGCACGAGTTTGACATTGAACTGGATATACCCGACCTTTAGTGTCATACAGGGTTAGACGTTTGACCAGGGTGGTTGCGCCCTGAACAAATTGAACAGGGTGGTTGTGCCTTGAACACATTCGACATTTTACCTATCTCAGCTCTTTAATGTCGCACGAATTTGACGTTTTTCTTGCCTTAGCTCTTTAACGTTGCATGAATTTGATTTTTTTGCTCTCTCGGCTCTTTACATCACAAGACTTTGATGTTTGACCTGTCTCATCTCTTTAACGTCGCACGAGTTTGACGTTTTTCCTGCCTCCGCTCTTTAACGTTGCACGAGTTTGACGTTTTTCTTGCCTCGACTCTTTAACGTTGCACGAGTTTGACGTTCTTCCATTGAAACAGGGTGGTTGTGCCCTGGATAGGACTTTGGTTAGCAGTTTAGGCTCATGGCACCGTGGAGTGTTCTCTCTTTTTTATTTTACTTTTTTAGTTTTTGAAATTTTGGAAATTTGGTTAGCAGTTTAAGCTCATGCCACTGGGGAGCGTTTTTATTTTTTTGAATATTTTTTGAAATTTTATGGAAAATTGGATGGCAGTTTAGGCTCATGTCACCGAGGAGCTTTGTCTTTTTTATTTTTTATTTTATTGTTGAAATTGGTTGGTAGTTTTGGCTCGTGGCACCAAGGAGCACTTAAAACGAATTAAAATGTTTTTTTTTTTTAAAAATAAAAGGTCACAAGACACATGATAAAGTCAAGGAACGATCCCCAGAAAGCCTAAAAATGAGTCGAGGATTTTTTCAAGAAGGAAAAAAAAACATATTTGGGCGACATTGGCCGTGTCGCCCACACAGGCTGGGTGACATGACTAGTGTCGCCCATATAACTTTTTTTTTTTTTTCGAACAAAATATTTGGGCAACATGAGGAGTGTCGCCCTCACAGGCTTGGCGACACGCCTCGTGTCTCCCATAAAGTTTTTTTTATTTTTTATTACGAAACATGGGAAAGTAAAAAAACGGAAATTTTTGCATAATATGTGGGCGGCACCAGTGGTGTCGCTCAGGTGACACGAGAAGTGTCTCCGAGGCGATACGAGAACTGTCGCCCTCATGGGCTGGGTGACACGCCTCGTGTCGCCTGTACAAATTTTCTCTCTTTTTATTTTTTTATTTATTAAGTGGGGCATAAAATAAAATAAAAAAATCTGGACCAAGTGATTTGGGCGACACGGGAAGTGTCGCCCTTACGGGCTGCATGATGCGTCTCGTGTCGGCTGTACAAATTATTACTATTATTATTATTGTTATTGTTATTGTTATTATTATTATAAAAGAAAACAACAATCTTTTGCACAACCCTCCTTTTCTTTTATTTTTTCAATTTTCAAAATAAATTAGAGGTGACGGTCCAAATAGCTCTTTTGAGAGCAAGTGGTAACATTTTGAAAAGACAAAGCGAAAGAGGACGAAGCCACTGCACTCAAAGAAGAAACATTGGGAAACGAAGTTGAATAGATTTAGCTGCTGAAATTTTGGACTTGAAACCATAAGAGGAACCCATTCAAATTTATCACACACACACACTCTCTATTGATGCTCCCATCTTTCTCTCTCTAAGCTTCTATCTTTCTTTCTCCCGTTTCCCTCTCTACACCAAACTCCCTCATTGCATTCCCATTTTATTGAGTTGGGGATTCATAGGTGGTCGAAAATGGAAGCCCAAGAGCGTCAATGGACGCTTGGGTTGGATCATAGTTCCAAGTCAAAGCACCAAGAGTAGGTAGAAATTTATACTTTCGATATGTTTGATGGAATGTCTCAATGAGTATTGGCTTAGTTCCCATTTGGGTGGTGTTGGGGTTGGCATGCCACTAACTTTGGCTTAGTAAAACAACGATTTTCTTTTTTCGGATTTTGAAAAACTTGTTTAAATTATGTCATTCACTAAAAAAACTTTGATTGTCATGTTTTCACTCTTGGTAAAAAATCTATTTTAATACCATTTTTTTTCTTCAAAGAATGTTTGGATATAACCATGATATTTTTTGTTGAAATGCCTGAAGGCAAAAAATTGAGATTGTCCTCTTTTTGGATGGCCTTGAAAGTGACATGCCATTGATTTTCGCTTAGCAAAAATGGTGGTTTTCTTTCCCCAAATTTTGAAGTAGAAGATGATTTGAAGAACTTTTATGGGGTATTTTAATTGTGGTTGGACATTGTTTCGAAAGATTGTTTGAATATGTGTAGACTCTAATCTTGAAATTGCCCCTGGGATGCTTGTGAAGAGTTTGGTTAAATGCATGAATGGTCTAAACTTGGGTTGAATCCTAATTTCTTGTGCTAGGAAAAGTCTTTCTGCTCATACGTTTGAGTCAAAAGTTTCATTATCAGCTTTTCTTTCTTCAAACTATGAAAAAAGGTCTTGAGTGCAGAATTACCAAAATACCCTTGAACACAAAATGATCAGAATACCCTTGAGTACCGTTTCATATTTTTGAGGGTAATCATGAGTGATTAGTACTGCCCCTTATTTTTAGGGATGGCATAGTGACCTTTTGAATGTAAAATGATCAAAATACCCTTAAGTTCAAAATGATCAGAATACCCCTACGCTGCCTCTTTTATTGTTATTATTATTATTATTATTATTATTATTATTATTGTTGTTATTATTATTATTATTATTATTATTATTATTATTATTATTGTTGTTGTTGTTGTTGTTGTTGTTGTTGTTGTTGTTGTTGTTGTTGTTGTTGTTGTTGTTGTTGTTGTTGTTGTTGTTGTTGTTGTTGTTGTTGTTGTTGTTGTTGTTGTTGTTGTTGTTGTTGTTGTTGTTGTTGTTGTTGTTGTTGTTGTTGTTGTTGTTGTTGTTGTTGTTGTTGTTGTTGTTGTTGTTGTTGTTGTTGTTGTT